GGGGGGGAGGTGGAGGGATGGGGGGGCAGGGAGAGGCTTGGGGGGGACTGGTTTCACTACACAGCATGTGACATATACACTGTGACCGCAGTTCCAATACATCTGGTGCAAGTCAAACTCTGTGTAGTGAAGCAAGGCCTTCTCTCTCTCTCTCTCTCTCTCTCTCTCTCTCTCTCTCTCACACACACACACACACACACACACACACACACACACACAGGAACAGGAACAAGTTTGCACCATGCAACTCCAAGGCAGCAGCTCAAGCAATACAGTGTGGGAATGGCAAGGGCAAGGTGATGGGTCAAGGAGCTCAAACTTCAAAAATTCCACAAAATGGGTAACCCATCAGTGCTAGCCAGACATGACAAACGGATGCCCGCGGCGGACAAAAGCAAGACGCAAAGAGAGCAATGAAATAACTTCGCCAGTAAAGGTAGCGCTCGGCGGAAAGTTGCCCCCCTTCAACAGGGGCGGGGCGCAGCCAAAAGATACAAGGCAAGTCATTGTTCACAAGGGTGCGATTCAAATACGGCACAAAGTTTCCCGACAAAAAAAGGGGCAGGAAGTCAACCGTGGCACTGGGAAACAAGTGGCACTGGAAAACAAGTGCCAGCACTGGAAAACAAGTGGCACTGGAAAACAAGAAGGCCCCAGAGACATAAACCAGTTCTTACTTCTGGTGCTGGGAACTCTCCCCTACACATCTCTTCTCCGACTGCAGAATAAGTGACAGGCCTGCCCATACAGGTCCCACACCCTTCGGGGGACTGGTTACACTTGCTCTGCGATGACATCACAAAACCCTTGTGCATGTGGCGAGTAGGCAAAAGACTCAACAGGCCCTGCAACTGAATGGCTGAAGGGATCTTCATCTGACAGTGGACACTCTTCCTTACCAGTAGTAATCCGTAGGGCAAAAAAGACACCCGTTTCTTGGGCAACAAACATGGCCGTTTCTTGCGCAACAAAAAATATCTGTCTCGAGCGACATCCATGTCCGGGTCTGGGGCGAGAGGCATATACGTTTCACGGCCACCATCAGCTTTTCTTCTCAGAAAAGGAAGAGGAGGCTGCAATTCCCCTCAGTCATGATGCTGAAGCCACTGCGTTGGTGTGCTAGACTTTTCTTCATGTTGTGTTGAAATCTTTTTCCTCAGTCATCTCTCTGTCACCCCGTCATCTTCGTCCCCAAACCTGCCCTCCCACCCTCTGTGAGTACTCTTTCCCACAGGCAGGTGGCAACGAGTCTGATTGCCCGGACCACGATACGGGATACGAAGAATGACACCACTGGCAAATGGGCGAGAAGTTACATCAAGTCGCTCCCGGCGAGAAAATCTGGCATCCCTCCACTGACCAACCCCTCACATCCCTGTCCCCCTTTGTTACCTACCGAGTGCGTGGCGAGCAATCTGTATCAGACCAACATACAACTTGTGTTCACAAACAGGCCATACTTACAGCAGCGTTACCTTCAGAGAAGAAAAAAAACAGCAAGGCATCCAATCGGACAAAATTACAACAATCCATACCGTGGGCACAGCGGATTGAGGCGAAAACAAGCCAGTGGTGACAAAAACCACGTCGCTTTCACGAGGATGCTAGTGCTTCCTGCAAAAGCAACTCGGTTATCAGCAAAAGTCTTCTGCTCCCGTCCGTTACGGCGTCAAGCACCGTTCCCCACGCCTTCAGACTCTTCCCCTTCCGGACGCATCCAGCTTCTACTCAAATTCTCCCACAGCTTTTCTAGTCTTTTTCTAGTCTGCAAGAAAAACGAGTCTCAGCATTCCTCCTACCTGCACTGGTGTGGAGCTTCCTGGCTGACAAAGAAATGTCTGTTAACGACCACCCGCGGTCCGCGGAGCTAAGAACGTTCCCCTCTGGACACCCAGTACATCCAGGGTCCTCCTCGGAGTCCTCCGGCTTTGGTGAGGGAATCCCTACCAAAATCATTCCCATCTCCAACAAGTCCCCGATATAAGAACCGCCGCCAGGTAGGAGTGGCATTGTTCAGAAGACAAAAAAAAAACCATCTCCGAAACTGGCGCAGACTTCTCATCTGCGATACAGTACACTTATCCATCGAGAAGGAATTCTGTTCGCACCTTCCGACTTTAATTGTGCATTCTCTTTTCGACCAGAGGTAGGTAGTAGTTTCAGACCAAGTGTCATCTACTTGCTAGGTTCGAGCCGATGTTCCGGAATCGTGTCAGTCATTCGGTCATCTGTTCCGCACTGCCGGTTGAGCCAGTCATTCCATGGATTCATCGTTTTCCAGTCTGAGTGCACTACTGGTAGCCATCTAGTTCACCGTGCATGTGCAAGGACTTGTACCTCAAGTGGACAATCGCATTGAGCCAGTCGTTAAAGTAGGCAAAACTGGTACCTCACGTGGGCAATCGCGCACATAATCCCCAGGCATTAAAGTAGATAAATGAGTAAACACAGAATAAATAGGTTCAAGCTAGTTCACCAATGAATATGGTTAATCTAATCTTCAAATTTCAAACTAAGACATGAGACCAGTGGCAGCAACAAACGTCCGCCGCCAATCAAAATGATGTTATCAACTACAAGAGTATAGCAAGAAAAAAGGATAAGACACCTCCCAAAAAGGATAAGACATCCCCTTTCACTTGTCATCCATGGGCGAAAAGGATAATAAGGGAGTGGGGAGAACAAGATACCGACATCAAGATGTTCGATATCGTCAAGTACGCAACAAACAGAGGAAACAGAAGTACTAGATGTCCTGAGTAGTGATTTGACAAATAGAGAGGTGAGATCAAATACTTTTTACATACCCAGAGGCCTGACACGTCATCATCTACCGCCTTTCTAACGAATGACGGTCAGAACAGAACAACACAAAGGACATCGTAAGGCTACTTGGCAGAGCAAAGATAGGCAGTCTAAATAAACATAGAAAAGCAAAACAAGACCAGACAGCAAGACATGTCGTCGATGTCAAGAGAATGAAGTCAGCAGGTTGATACGAGTCAGGATGTGCGCCCGTGCACAGAAGATTTTGAAAAGCTCTCTCTCATCTTTTGCACCCGGGTGCACATTGGAGAACGGGCCCCATGTTCCTTGGGAAGCCTCATCTTTTGCAGCGGGGGGGGGGGGACACATATGCATGGGAGGAAAAATCCCCATCCCCATGTTCACGGGAGCAGAAGACGTCCGAGGACGGCCAATCCTGCTTCCCCACCCTCAGAAAAGAAATGAGGGGAAGGACTGAAAGACATCATGTTCGGCAGCCACGCTCCAGCAGTATGAGATAAAAAAGGCAACAACGATCGAATGGGATTTGCTCAGACGCCATCCTCACCCACACTGGGTCGCATAAGCGGAGATAGAGAAGGCCACACGCTTGTACAGCCGCTATCGCCGTACGCATGCCATCTTCACCCACCCTAGGTCACATAAGCGGAGCTAGAGAAGGCCCCCCACCCACTTGTACAGCCGCCATTGCCGTCTACACACACACAACCGGCACAACATAAACGATCCTCTTCCGAAATGACGTCCAAACGGACGGCGAAGATGATAACAGAAGAGAACGATCTGCTTAGGACAATTTTTTTCTACAGAGTCATGCATGGCTGGACGTGTGTAGCATACGTGTATCGGCCATGGGCTTGAGATCTGTAGAGACGACGACAGTGGATTCATCAGCCAGAAGACGCCACTGCCATCTTTAGCTGAAAGGACATCAAGATGAATAGGTCAATGTGACCCTTAGACATCGGCATCCTCGAGTGGGAGGTCTGAGAACAGTGACAAGGAACCAGCATACTCTACGGGGTCAGTGCTGTAGGCAGGAAAGTAAGTCCCACCATCGTCTTCCCATCGTCTTCTCGTAAAGGGAACCACAATGGTAATCCTCGCCGTTATCTTCTCGCGGAGATAATAAAAGAACGATCTGTTGAAGGGTACCTAGAGAGACACGCATGGGGCTTGACCCGTGCAACACGAGTGAAGAGAAGAGGCCACCCTCCGATTCGGATCGCAAAATCCACACCACACGGCTAACCTGGGAGGTAGGCACGCCTGTTCATGCCATCCCAGACAACAGATGTTGATATCAGGTGGAAGAAGATAAGCAAAAATCCAAAGAACGCTGCAAGATTTTGCAATTGCGGTTGGAAGGGGTGGGGGGGGAGGGGGAGGAAAGGTAGGTACTAGGTACATTAGAAGGACACCAGTCACCATTACAAGCAGGGGGTACTCCTTGAGCATGGCTCTCACCATGCTTCAGCATCTTCTCATTTCTTCGCTCCTCTCTCTCTCTCTCTCTCTTGCGAGCGCGAGCGCACGCATCTATCCTGCTCATACATTCCACGAACAGCAAGAGAGATCGAAATTGAGTGCCGACCTCTGGACTTCCAGGAATTTATCGTTAGCTCTTACCTACCGCCTTGCAATCTGACGACCACTGTCCCGATAGATCGCCTGCTCCCGTAGACAGCAACAAAGCCTGCCTCTAATTCTTACAACCCAACTCAAACATGACAGCGAGAAGGAGATTGAGAACTCCAGCTGACGATTGAGGGGTATCAAAGACTGCAGAGCTTCAGAAGGAGAACACGTAACGGTAGACTTGCACGAACTCCTGTCAATGCCAGGGCTGCCTGATCGCATGCATGCATGCTTCCTTCCGTCTCCACTCGTCCGTGCTCTGCTTCACTCTGGTCCATCGCAAAGGCTGTTCCTGATACCAAACACGACCGCCAGCAGCTCACCGTAGTCCCACTCGAGCTCCACCCTCAGAAAATGGAGTTTACTCCCTCCCTTTGCCTTTCTTCTCCGGCATGCCGTATCCATCGCTCCCATGATATATTACCACCATCATTCTTTCTTTATCTTGCCGTGAACACACGGCATCATTGAATGCGTTCACGTTTCGTCGTCGTTCATTAATTAAATCGTCCGGTCACGGCAATCATCCCTCCTTTTTATGTCTTTTTATGTCTTTTTATGTCTTTTTTTCATCTACCTTCACCAATCCCGCCCTCTCTCCGCTTAAGGCTGCCTCACCTGCTAATACCGTAGTGTTTTTTTTTTTTCTTTTTTTTTTTTTAGTTTACGTTTACCTCCATCACTCCCGCCCTCTCTCCGCTCGAGGTTGCCTCACCTGATACCGCAGCGCAACCACAGTCAAGAAGACGACCAGTTACGTTCTCCATTTTGTCACAGCTTCTTCCTTTCCATTTCACAGCTATCTCCGTTCTTCTACGCAAAGGGCACCCATCTATTAGTCGCCCACTCGCAGAACACATAACATAAATTTACAGAAGTGGAAAACCCTCTTGCGCACTAGTTCTACTAGTTCTACCTCAACCGTCCACCCAGTGGCACTCACACATCCTGGTAACGGATTGCTTTGCTAGCCAGGCACAATGCTTTGATGTCCCGCGGTGGCAAATACAGTAATTCGCCGTTGAGCAGCTCTCAAGCAGCCGACAAGCCGCAAGCCGATCGGCATGTGTAGGTCTAACCTACACATGTCCACTACACAGGCGCACGCCGCCTACCCAAACAATTTGTACATACACAGCAATGGTCTTCATGCAAGCCGTACTCCGCGCTTTTGCCAAAGAAGAAAATCCTAACAAGCCACCTCGCGCAGCCAAGGGAAGCAAGCACAGAAAACCAGCTCTCGGTAGAAACCACAACAACAACAACAACAACAACAAATTCAGTGAAAGAAACGTTGGCAAATAATTCTATCCTTCCTGTAATGTATAATGTAGAACTCATCGAACCTGTAGTACCATGGACTACAAGCAGGCGTACATTGGAACTGGCAGATAACGGATCTAAGCAATCAAGTCGGTCGAAAAATACAAGCGACTATCATTCTTGGCACCTACGGATGACTATCATTCTTGGCACCTACGGATGACGACTATTGCCCTGAAAGTCGGATGCAAGCCGGGGTCTCTCTCTCTCTCTCTCTCTCTCTCTCTCTGTGTCTATATTTGTGAAAGCGACAGATAACAAGTGACGTTCGTTAACAAATACAGACGATCATCATCGACTTCTCAGCACCTACGGATGACTACTGTTCCCCTGTTCGTCGGATGCGAGCCAGCGTCAAGGCTACAACTCTTCTCATCTCTCTCTCTCTCTCTCTCTCTAGAAGAAACGCTCGTTGACAAGTACAGACAATTCATCGACTTCTTAGCAATTACGGATGACTGTTCCCCTGCACGTCGGATATGAGCCGGGGTCACGGCTATAACTCTCTCTCTCTCTCTCTCTCTCTCTCTCTCTCCATATTACGAGGGGTGGTTGCAATCGATGCAAAGCCATTAATAATTGCTGACTGACGGAATCGAATCCTTCTTTTTCCCTATAAGCTGAACCTCTTTCAGCTACTGCACCACACATCCGCACCCTGAGGATTTCTTCGTTGCTGCTTTAGAGCACAATCTAGGCCGGCTAAAACATCGACCTCGCCTGCGCGCTGCTTTGCCAGCAGCATGAGGAACGCTCCGCTCTGTTCCTCCCTCCACGGCAGCATTCGCCGCAGGGTTCCCAACAGGACTGTACATCGGCTTTGATGCAGCCACTCCTCGGCGCACCTTAGGACTAATCCCTTCCTCCTCCTCCTCCTCCTCCTCCTCCTCCAGCGCGTTCTCCTTATCTCTCCTAGTAGGCGGACGATCCACCACCGTCCTGAGCACCGCGGCCTCCTCCGCTTCACCTGCTGTGCCCTGCTCCAACTCCGCTGCGGGCTTTGCTTCATCGCCCTGTTGGGTAGCGTCCACAGCAAAGGAGGGTTGTTGTTTACTACTTCTCAGAAGAGTCTCTTGTGCTATCCGTTTGGCAGCCTCTGCTTCCTTCAATTTCGACACTGCCTTGCTTTCCTTCTGCTTGGCCTCTTGAAGCTCTACTCTCAGTTCGGCAATTTCGTCCTCCGCCACTCTTGCCTTCTCCTCCCACAGCTTCTCCTTCTCCTTACCATCTGCTATTCTCCTCTCTAGCTCTCTGATCTGGTTCGTAAGAAGTTCCACCTCCACTCTCAGTGCCCGCGCCTCCGTCTCCGACTCATCTAGCCGCTTGGTCAGCTCCGTTGAGGCGCCGCTTGCGTCGCCATCCTCCACCAGCGCCAGCGACACGGAGCCTGAACGCCCTCTTCCTCTCTCTGCCCGCAGTTCCCTCCTCACCACCTCCATCTCCGCTACCACCTCCGCCTCCTTCGCCTTCGCCGCTGCCACCTCCGCCTCCGCTGCCATAACTCTCTCCTCCCACCCTCTGATGAGTATCGCGGCCTTCGTCTCGGAGTCCCTCAGCGTCATTCTATACCTGTTCTCCATCTCCGCCAGGGCGGCTTTCGCCTTCTTCTCCGCCTCCGTCGCGTTCCTTACGTCGTTCTCTGCAGCCTTCGCTTTGTCCTCCATTTCCACGCGCCCCCTTTGAACGGACGCTAGCTTCGACAACAGCTCTTCCACCCTCCTCGTTCCCAGAGTGGTCTGCTCCGCCAGTGCCATTTTCTCCCTCTCTAAATCCGCCGCCCTCCGTTCCACTTCCATCATCTTCTCTCTCACACCAGTCACCTCTTTCCTCGACTCGCGCAGCGCATCCTGCAGCGAAACGATGGCCACCTCCGCCTCGTGTTGCCTCGTCGACGTGGCCGCCAACTCCGCCGTCATTACCGCGACGCCGGAGTCGGCTTGCTTCTTCTGACTCTCTCTCATCTCATTCAGCAGGGATTTCACCATCGTCATCTCGCTCGTCGCATCTCTGTGTTCCTCCCTCAGCTTCTGCAACTCCCGTTCTTGCGCCTCGACTACCTCCTCCCTCCTCCTCAACTCTTCTCTCGCACTCTTGAACTCCCCCTGCAGCTTGTCCAGTTGCTCCATCACCTCTTTCCTCTCGACGTCCACTTCGTACAGTGCTTTCCTATACGTGGCGACCTTCTCCGTTCCCTGATTCTGCACATCTTCCAGAGCTCTCCTATACTCGGACAGCTCCGCATGCACGGCGGTCTTCGAGGTCTCGGCATCTTCCAGAGCCTCTAACGCCTCCCGCAGACATCGACTGGTATCGACAGCCTCCCTCTGCTTCTTCACAAGCTCCCTCTCAAGAGCGACCTTCTCCCCCGCAGTTTCGATCAGCGCCGCTTGCGTAGCGTCCAGGTTCCTGGACAACTCCTCCACTCTTTTCTTCGTCGAGATGAGCTCGCGCTCCACGTAGGCTCGCGTCGACGTCGCCTCGTTGGCCGCAGCATCCACAAAGCCTTTCGCCGTGTGCGACTGCTCCAGCTCCCTACTCAGCTTCGCTACGTCCTGCCGAGCGCGCTGCAACTGCGACATCACCTCTTTCAATTCAATCTCCAAATCCGCGATCTTCTGCAAAACGAACGTCGCACTGAAAGGATTACAAACCATACCTTCCCTCGATCTATTTTTGGAATTACACGACGAGCAAGGTCATACAATCAATCAATCAATCAATCAATCAATCAATCAATCGATCGTGCCACCTACTGCCTGCCTGTCCTCTTGAGGTGTTTCTGCAATTGTTTTTTTTTTTTTTTGAGAGGTGTTTTCACAATTTGAACTGTCCATCTTTTCTGTGTTTTCACGATTTTTTTTTTCTGTATCTTTCGTGCACGATCGATTGATTGATTGATTGATTGATTGATTGATTGATTGAGCAAACACGAGACTCAATTGACCGACAGCTATGATCGCACAAGAGGTGAGCAAAAGATATGTTGCGCATGAATTTCAACAGAGAACCAGTACAAGGGAGAGAGTCATGAGCCTTCACAGATCGCATTCGAGATGATTCGACAACAACCACGTGGACTGTTTCACAACGAATTATACGTCGAAAATGAATCATATGGCGCAAGTCGGCGAACGAGATGCACCTGCGTCGCTTAATCCTCCTCTTAACTACGAGAAGGATCGCATTCGACAACACCCACGTGGACTGTTTCGAAATGAATTATACGTCGAAAATGAATATATCATATGACGATCCTAAGGCGCAGGTCGGCGAACACCTGCGTCGCTTACGATGAGGTGTAATCTCATTTAGCTCAACGATGAGGAAGTCGCACACGAGACAAATTAGAGGGGGAGGAAGAGGGGGGGGGGGGGGGGGTAACACCCACTGCCATCCTTTCACGAGACGGACCAAAAGAGGCAGAAACGTACATATACGCACAATTCGACCAGGTTCGGCCAAGATATAGGAACGACTGAACGTCTGCGACACAAAGTCTGCACAGGTGCAAGGCAGAAGAAGCGACGACATGCAGCCAGAGCTGTAAGTAGAAAATTCCATTCCATCCTACACAGATCTGCAGTGTCCGTTGTTCCGCCCGCCCGGCAAGCATGATTCGAAGAAATGCCAAACAAAAAAAAAAAAAAGAAAAAAAAAGGGAGGGCCGAAGACGTTGAAGACAACGGATTAACAATTCTTTTTTCTCCGCTTGACTAGAGACAATGAATGTGCGGAGCGGACAGAAACTCGCAGCGCTACGGGCGACGAGAAGAGGAAGCTTGTCGTCGGAAAACAGAGGAAACAGACAGAAGAGGAGGGGATGGAACCATCCTGAGCTCTTCCATCGAGCACAAGCGCACAAACTGAACACGATGAATCGGGACGGGAAATTAGTTTGTAAACGTTCATGATCAGGGGCGTTGGGCTCGGGACGCTATTTCACAAATCAGTTTCCTGCTTTGCCTGGCTGCCTCACTTCCTCCATCCCTTTTGTTATAGCGCTAGGATTTTTCTGCCATTCGGTACAATACTCGACCATCTATTCTCAGCTAAAGATGATTTACTATTGCTCGACCATTCGATATACGCTTCTTTTTTTTTTTTTTTTTTTTTTTACGATTTTTCTGAGCGCTGCGAATGGTACTATCGCTCGACACGTGCGATGGATGCCACGCACGCTTTGACATGCACTAGGAAAGACGGGGGCGTTTCGAACTCGCGCATTGCAGCCCCCCCTTATATCTTCTAAACAGTCATGCTTTCTGGTCACCTGTAGCAACACGCATAAAACGGAGCAGCATCCACCTTTGATGAATGCGACAGGGAGAGAGAAACGAGTTAAACCCAGGCAATCACAAAATAAATGGGCTTACAATAAATTCACCACATCCAGCATAAGTACAAAAAAGAAGGAGAGACATTTTTCTCTTCTTCGCTTTCGGACCTGGAAAGACGCACAAAATAGTGTACCATACATCTTTGATGAAGTGCGAGAGGGAGAGAGAAACGAGCCCACACAGGCAGCCAATCAACGGAACTACACGGAAATCACGAAATGCAGCACAAGTACAAAGAAATATATATATATATATATCGTCACAAATATATTACTTCTTCCGTCTTTTTTTAACAAGAAAGAACATCCAGGTGTCCCTCAACCGTCCAGGGTGTCCCCTGGCTTCTATATAGTCATGGGGAGCAGCATGTGCTCGGAAGCGGGCCCAGTGTCAAGTGTCAAAACAGATGAAACAGGGATACATATAGGGCGTCGCCGCACGGGACACGAAACGAAAAACGAAACGAGTGCATCTCCCTGCAGAAAATGGCCAGGTTCATCGGTTTGCTACAGATAGTAACGAGTGTGTATGTTGCCACCTTCCGTGGGCAGATACACTCGTTTCGTTTTCGTTCCGTGTGCCGTGCGGCGAAACCCATATACTGGCCAGATGAGTTCGAAAAGGGAAAGAAAGGCCAGCATTTGATTGATTGCCCCCTGGGTCCGACAAAGACGATGGAGGTATCCAATCTGTAATCATCAAAGTGTCATCCGTAAACTGACTGACTGACTGGCTGACAGACATGTGGCGACAGAGACCAAGTACAATTATTAAACAGATTAGATTGTTAAACAGATTATAATTTAACAAAATAAAAGTTATACACAACAGGGTAATACGTGAAGTCAAATGTCGACTGACATATGGGGGGCTATGGGGGGCTGACAGACAGCAAGCAACCATTATGACAGTGTGTACGTACATTGGGAGGGCTGACAGACAGCAAGCACCCATTATTACAGTATGTGTACGTACATTGATCACTGTACATGCATATAGACCATTAACGTGCGTCGATGTACATAGACAGATCGAAGCTCGTATGAAGTCGTAAACGTCGTCGACAGCGCGATAATTTGCCCAGGTGCATCGTACCATAGCATACACAAATGGCTGAACTACCCGGCTTTCCCCGAACATAACGCATATGCGTTTTCGAATTTTCGAAAAATTCAAAACCCCGAAAAGAACGCAAGAGCTGTATCCGAAAATCAGGGATGTTCGAATAGAACGCATGTGCGTTGCATTCGGAAAACAAATCTCGGCTAATGGAAAAGGCACGGGCGTGTTGTATCGAATAGAAAGCAACCTATGCGTTATATTCGCTTAAAACGCATACGCGTTATGTTCGGGGGAAGACCGGTAGAAAAGATTCACATGGGCAGGCGCAGGGTCAAATACATAGATAGATCGATAGTTCGGAACGGACGGATGACATAAATAATTTTTATTTTTATTCGTCTTTTTCCACCTTTGGGCTCCGATTCATAGTGTGCCAATATATTGTCACACACTATGAATCGGCGCGCAAAGGCGGAAAAAGACAACGAAAAAAGAAATAAGAAGGAAAGCCCTGCCTGTGACAATACATACTGTTTATGCGAGATGAGAGCTCGGAGGCAAGATATTCATACCTGATTTGCTCGCTTGACAGACATGTAAGAGTAGGTCGAGCCATCGCTTTCGACAGACGCCGGACTAGAGGGCCTAGTGACATGGCCCGCCGTCACTGTCTTGCTCAGAGAGGTAGGCGATCCCTTCGCCGAAAAAGAATTGATCATCTTACTCGTCAGTGAGTTGGCCTTCGTAGTCGGCGGCGACAACGACTTTTTTGGGTCAGAGTATTTCGGCTCGGAAAAGCTCCTCACCACGGCTTTGACAGAGATCGAAGGGCTCGTCTCCATAGCCACACTATCTAGGATGTATCCTCCTCCCCTCGTCCTTGAATCTGACGATGGGGATCCGCATACAGAAGACGTCGCGCTCTCACCGGCCATCCCGACACCATTCTGATCTCCATTGTTCCCACCTCCCGCAACTGCTCCGCTGTCATAGTCGGAAGAAACCCCGCTTCTGCTGTTGGTATTGCCCTGACCGTTGCCGCCGTTGCTAGCGCTCGGTACATTCACAAAGCCATTGGCCACCGGCGTAGACCACACCCGTTGTCGTGATGGCACCGACACAGCCATTCTTTCTCTCTCTTTCCTGACGCCAATCTCTCTCTCTTTCTCTCTCTCTCTCTCTCGGTCGCGGGGCCGCAGGGGGGGCAGGCGGAGGGGGGTATGGGCAGAGGCTGAGAATCGCGTGGGACTGATTCGTTCGCTGGGTGTTACCCCGTCGATGACGACGAATAGAACTCAGTCGCTTGCTAGGTTTCACCCAATCCCCAAAAATAGCTCCCCCATATCTCCCCGACCTGTCTTCTCTCTTCCTTCGGCTTTTCTTCTCCTCACCTTCTTCCCATCTCTCTTCCCGCTTGGCTCTCTCGCTCCTTTCGCAAACTCCACCTACCCCTCTTCTACAACACGTGGCTGCGAACCCCTAATGTTCGCCCACGTGGACGTGCACACACAGACACAGACACAGTCACAAACAACCACAGACCACGTTTTAGAAAAGGACAAATCTTGACTCCACATCGCATGCACGAAAGGAACCAATGTTGTGCCCGAAACCATTCAAATCACCAGTCTCAGAATGATTCACGATTACCGTTCGGCATTCCCGCGGACGAACCAGGCAACCTGAAGTAAGAAAACCAACGTAAGTCTCACGTCACGTGGTGAAGGAACAAACATCCTCTATCAGCTCAGCCTGCCTTTTATTTAGCCAAAAGACGTTGAGGTTGGTTCTCCCCCTCTCAAAAGAGAGCGGGAGTAGTAAGGGAGACATATGAGAAGACTAATAAGATCATCGGGACACTTAAGGCCAGTTGCGGACGAAAGAAATGATTGAAGCAGCAGCGATATCAGCTTTCCGACGATTATCTTTCTCCACATAGTAAGTCCGAAGAATTTCCGTGGGAACGCCAGAAATCCGCCGGAATGGAAGTGATCAACACGGGCGAGCTAGCCTGCTCCCTCATCATTCTCCTGACCCATACAACTCCGCGATCATCAACACCAGCACCCACTAGGTGCAGGGCATTTTCTTGCGCTGGTGATGATGAATCTCTCTACAATCACAAAACTGTGATCATCATCCCTCACAACGGTACGCGATCATCAACATCAGCACCAATCAGGTGCTGGGCAATTTCTTCCGCTGGTGATGATCCACCTCTCCAGAATCACAAACCTGTCCTTCTCATCCCTCACGATCGATATCCTCTCTCTCTCTCTCTCTCTCTCTCTCTCTCTCTCTCTCTCTCTCTCTCTCTCTCTCTCTCTCTCTCTCTCTCTCTC